GGGGGGGGGGTGCTGACCCGACGGTTCTCTGGGCCATAGAGTGTACCGCAAATCCACCCAAACCTCTACCTTAACACTGCATCCCACCACCACCCTTCCAACAAGCAAGCTGCACTTTCCACAGTGGTGCATAGGGCTAGATCTCTTTGTGATCAAGACAGCCTACATGCGGAGTTGGTGCTCCTGGGGGATGTTTTCAGGAAGAACGGATACAACAACCGGCAGATCCACAGAGTTCTCAACCGTTGGCCCAACATCAGCTAGCCTGAAGATAAACCGGGCTCAGTCGCCTTCCTTTCCTATGTCAGGACCATATTCAACCGTATCAGCAGAGTGCTGTCGTGGCACAATATCAAATCAGTGGGTCTGCCTCCAAGCAAAATATCCAGTTTCATCCGGCCGGACAAAGATAGCTGGGACTAAGGACACTGGTGTATACAGTATCCCATGCGAGTGCGGCAAAGTCTATATTGGGCAGATGGGCCGCTCCATGGATTATGAGGTTGAAGGAGCATAAGCGGCACATCCATCTCGAACATCCAGACAAGTCAGCTGTAGCTGAACACAGCATCGATTTGGAACACTGCATTCAGCTTCAGAATACCTCCATCCTCGCCACCAAGACCTGATATATGGATCGCATCATTGGGGAAGCCATTGAGATTGAACTCCACCCCGAAAATATGGACAGAGAGGGGGGGGGTTTCTCTCAGCAAGTCATGGAAGCCTCTAATCTGTTCCCTAAGAAACCCACCGGGACATGACGCCAGATCCACAAGGCTACACAGGCCATGACTCACTAACATAGCAACCCCCCCCCCAGCTTAAGGGTTAGTGCCCTCCCTTAAACCTTGCCTTTCTCTCCCCCGACACAATATCATATACAAAACCCTGCTTCTGTCCCAGCCCCTTTCCCCCTCCCACTCCACTGAATTCCCATGTAGACTTGCCCCACCCTTCCTTCATTGCTCTCACATAGCTGTGTTTATTTCCAACACCAGTCTGCTTGTACTGGTTCTCGCGGTCTCTTCGCTTGCAGATTTTCTTATTTTTCCTTCTATCCTGAAGATGGAGGCGATACGTTCCTCCGAAACGTAGGTTAACACCACATCTACACAGTGCCACATCCCAGAAGACTGCTTTCTTCAATTTAAGTAGAGTTCTAAGAGTAACAATTGCCAGGCTGCCAGAGGGGTCTAGAGGTTAGTACTGCAGCCTAGTATTCAGGAGGTATCAGGTTCAATCCAAACTTCTACATTATTGTTTTTTTCATGTAAACATAAAGTTCACTCTAATATTTCTGCACATTTCTTTAAAGATTATGTTGAAAATTAACATTAGTTTTTTATTTTTCTTTGGAGGAGGACTTTGAGAAGTATAAGAGTATGCGAGCTGCAGAGGATACGAGTATGTGCACAGGCATGATGAAAAATTGTGCAATATGGACTTCAAATCTCATCAGCACAATAAAAAAGTGAGTTGTTTATTTGCAACAATTGCTTCTACAGTTCATTGTTCTTAATCTTCTTAATTGCTACTGTTAACTATGTATTACTAGTAGCTCTTCAAGCACTATGTACACATAGTAATTTGGAATGATGAACTTTAAAGTTTTATATATATATATAAAGCAAGAACTCTCATAACTTGAGTGATGTATTTGTGTGCAAGGAATAAAAGACTACTCACACTATATGTTGTAATGTGTTGCTGTTGAGAGTTGAAGTCCTTTATGCACATTGTCTCAAAACGCGCCATTTTTTGATGAGCCTGTGCACATGTCCTCTCCAGTGTGTAGCTGTCCTTACTTGCCACTGTGCTCTCCCCAACCTGCAAACAAACAAAACAAAATTAGAACAAAAACCCTCATAATGGGGTGAGAAGTTGCTATGGAACATTAGCATCTTTAAATACATTCATGTAATACAAAAATAGAAACATTACTAATACACATTTTGTGCTTCAATACTATTTAATATGTAAATCCCAATTTACCATATATCAGAAGGCTTTTCTAGATCATACTGTTTCAGAGAACATACTTGTACCAATCTAAGTAAAACAGACATGATAGATAATTCAGCCAAAATTTATCTAAGACTGGACCAATGAAAATCAGTCTAATTTACTTAATCACTGACTATAAAGTCAGTCTCCTCAGCCCATCCCTTAAAACAGATCACAGCTACAACCTTTCCAGTGCCTCATTCACAACTGTCCTACCATCAAATGGTAATGTAACCTACATAGGTGAAAAAGCATTGCTAAATACATGGTGCTATCCAAAAGTTCCTGAAATAAGTTAATAAAAACTATAACGTCCCCTTTGGGAGCGCATACACTGATCCCAGCATTTCTGCCACTTTTGAAATGCATCCTGGAAGTCTTTCTTTGTTAGGGTGTTTAGTACCGTCTGCATTTCCAATTGAATTTCCTCAACTGTATCAAATCTTCGCCCTTCAACTTGATTTTCATCTTGGGGAAGAGAAAGAAGTCGCATGGAGCTAAGTCTGGCGAATATGGTGGGTGAGGAACAACTGCCATCTTGTTTTTAGCCAAGAATTCCTGCACAATGTAAGCCGTATACGGTCATGTGTTGTCATGGTGGAGTACCCAGTCGTTCTGCGCCACTTCTCTGGACGTTTTCTCCTCATGTCCTCCCTCAAACGCCTTAGAACATTGCGATAGAACTCTTTATTGACTGTCTGACGAGGAGGGATGAACTCCTTATGAACAATCCCGTCAATATAAAAAAAAGAAAAACAGATCAAAATGGTCTTAATGTTGCTCTTAACTTGTCAAGCGTTTTTTGGCCAAGGTGAAGAAGGGCTCTTCCATTGTGACAATTGCTGCTTACTTTCAGGCTCATAGCCATAAACCCAACTTTTGTCACCAGTGACAACCTTTGAAAGAAAGTTTGGATCCTTTTGAAACTGTTGTTGAAGTTCCCTGCAGACTTCCAAGAGATGCTGCTTCTGTTCATTTTGCAGCAGTCGTGGCACAAACTTTGCTACAATCCTCCTCATGTTCAGTTCCTCTAACAAAATTCGTTGACATGTACCATAACTTAGTCCCAAGGTGTTACAGAGGTCTTGGATGGTCAGTCTACAATCTTGCAGAATCAGATCCCTAACTTTCGCGACATTTTCTGGTGTGATGCCAGCTGATGGCCGTCCCGAACGATCGTCGTCATCAGTCAATGTCCAGCCATTTTTGAAACACTTATACCAGTTGTAAGTTTGTGTCTGGCCTAAACTTTTGTCACCAAAAGCTTGCTTCAACATTCTACAGTGGTTTTCCCAAGTTTAAAACAAAACTTTATACAGACACGCTGCTCTCTCAGGTCAGCCATCGCAAAACCGCAAACTCATGGAAACACAACAATGGAAATATGTTCACCAACAATAAACCCAACCACTCAACTCGATGCCGCTTGCCACACTGATTCATGAAGGGTGTGTTGGGAGACACCTAGCGGTATTTCGATGTACTCATAACCATTCGCGTGCAAAATTCAAATTTCGGAAACTTTTTGATAGCACTCATAAATATTCAATTGCCATCTCAGCATGACTGACAAAAATGTAAGGCACACATCCTAATGCAGAGAACTTACTCCTGACCAAATGTGTAGATATGGTTACAATGTGCACTTAGCATGCCTGCTTCCTCTTCAAAAGGGCCTAGGTTCCATTCTTACCCTGAACATCACCTATTCTGAGATTTTTGTGATTTTTCTCAATTCCTAACCTAGTTATTTCAGGCAAATGTCTCCCACATCCCTTCTGATTTATAATTTACTATCCTACCATTTGACATTGTTTATTTAATGATACTGCCAGTTGCTTAGACTATATAGCATATAATGGTAAGGGTGACTAATTGAAAAACGTTGAAAACTTCAGTCAAGACAGTCTGTATCCCAGCTGAGGTTTGAATAAAATACTGAATACATGTCAAGTGTTACTGCCTGAGCTGACTCGCTTAGTGATGCTATGTTGTCTGAGCTTCTGATATGGTTGAACAAACCATTCAAATAATAAAAATCCACTATAGACTCTACATGAAGGTCATTTCTCCCTCAGAAAACTATTTCAGTAACATCACTATAATGCAGCCAGAGAATATTTCAACACAAATGTTCCAAATTTTGAATTAGCAATCTCATTTGGTCAGAAAACAAATTTGGAATTACGGAAGTTTTGGTCTTTGTCCATCGTCCAGTATTCTAAAAACTTCAGAACATGTTTCAGAAACTGGATCTGTTTCAATCAGGTGATGGTGGGGGGGGGACATCTACTCTTTCAGAATCTACTAAGATACAATTACAACGTTTACAGATTAATTTCATATTACGCTTGCATCTGGGAACTGTAGAGGCCCCACTTCTTGACATTTCATTCCATCTATCTTCTCTCCTGCTTCAGGTGGTTATCATGCGTTCACTGTCTCTTCAGATAATCTGTGAACAAACCAAACACATGTCTGTAATGTCAGAATGAAACACTGGTAAATCACAGTGCCCAATGAATAAACATACAGTGAAGTCTCATACAAAAATATTTTTATGTTCCCAGCCGAAGCCCAATATGAACAATGTACAGTAAACATCCAGAACTCTAATGTAACTGGAAAAAAGTTACAAATAAAATTTACTATTGTATAAGTTACTTCAGGAACAGAGCTGTGACATGCCAATATTCACTCATCACTTCTCCCACCTTCCATTACAGTATATCCAAAATCTTTCACCTATCAATCCACTTCATTGTCTAAGATAATTCGAAAACAAACTGAAGTGCAAACATGTTGTTTTGACAACCTCTTTATTATATATGTCACAACACAACTAATATCAAGATCAGACCATTTTTGGCCCTGCTACATGTTTCGGCTATTGATAGCCATCATCAGGCAAACACATGATTTACACACATATACACACACCACTGAACCGCAGCACCAACAAGATTGGATACAATATTATTAAAATATATAAAAACACTTGACGTAAAAAATACAATAAATCAAGTTATATAAAACAGAAGTATGATATAAAATAAGAATAAAATTCTTTTGGTGTTTTTACATCAACGTGTCAGTCATTGGTTTGTGATTTGCTTTTTGTTTCATTCCCACGGACAAGTTGGAATATTCATACTTATGCGTATATAAAATTGTGTATGAGCCTCGTAATGTAGATGTAGTAAAGTAAATTATAATATTAATCAGTGCCTCATCTCACAGAGTATTGTCCATACTGTAGGGAATGTAAACAATGACTGAAAAAAATAAAAAGAATGTTGTTTTGACTTCGAAACAGAAAATGGAAATGTTACAGGACTGGAAAAACGTGAAAATTGAGAGAGGACTGAGTTTACCTCATGCAACTGGGACACCCCACTTTCCATACATGCTGGATAACAGAGGCTATCTCTATAACAGGCTGTCGAGGCTCCCACATTTTCTAGACAACTGGCTTGCAGATGGCAGTGATGATGTCAGCTTTATGCGCCAGCCGCCCTTTACCCCCAGGAAGATTCCTAGTACTCATTTCTGTTAGAAGCTGAGTCAACCCCAGGGCCATACTGTTGTAACCTACTGGCATCATTCTAAAATATTACCAACTATAATATAAATTTCAATTCCATTAATACTCAGGACTTAATGCCAATTTTGTGACTTATACCCATTTTTGCTGTAACTGTTCTGAGAATTTGTGGCAAGGAATGTTTAGATAAGAGTTATTAGAAAGATCTTTGATAGCCGGTGTGGTATATGAATCGCTTTCCTCTCCCACCAGTCCAACTGAAGACACCTTCCAGAACGTTCTCAATCTGTAGAACAGTGTGAAAGCTTCAAGAAAAATCCCAATGCGGAAGGTTCTGGAAATATTACATTATTAGAGATTATTTAAAGGCTGATTTCGGATGGCGCTCATCAGAGAGAGAGATCAGGTTGTGTGTGCAGCCATAATATTCTGTGTATTCAATGTAATCACTGGGTGTTGTGCACAGTTGTGTACAAGAGCAGCTGTATCATTGACCTAAACTAATTTGTAACATCCTGTAGTGTTGTGATCAATAAATCAAGTTCAACCGTTTCATCAGCAAAGTGTGGTCCAGTGACTTCTTCAAGCAAACCTCTCTCATCAGAGCAAGGCCCATTAAGCCCTGAGCGGAATCCTCATGCGCACACCTCCCTTTTTCCATCCACATCACTCGTAATATTCTTCAACATGGTTTTAAGATCATGTGGCACTCAACAAAAGGACCAGGGGTGAGTAGAGAGAAGAGGACAGTTAGAATTAGATTCATCAACGGTGGCTACCCAACTTAACCAAAAAATGGAAGAGCAGTTAAACTGTGGCTGGAAGGATTAAGTCAACTGAAAAATCCAGTGACACTGGGAATCAAACCCATGACCTTCCGGTTGTAGTACAGTGCCTAAATCAACTACGCTACCACGCGCCCCTCTACTGTATTATTATTTTAGTGAATTTCAACTCATATTTACTGTACAAAATTTCCAGCCTTTGGAACATGTAACTCAATTTAGCAGACTGTGGTTGAAGCAAAACCACATGTTCTTCTTTTTCCTCTTCTGTAAATCATTATTACGCAACCATTCTGTTTATTTCATGCCATTAATTTATAATTATATATGGTACATTTTATAGGAAGATGAAAGTTTTCTTGATATAATTTTGTATAATCCTCTGTAGTGTAATAAAATCCATTCCCCAGACACTCATTAAAAAAGGAATTTCACTGTTTCTTTTGCTCCAACACTCTTTTTGTAAGACTGCCTCACTGCCATTAATGTTCACTCTTTAATATACCTCTACTGTTGCAAACCTAATCACTATACAGACAGAATTTATTTTTTATGTTCCATTGGACCAGTTACTCCGGATACAAAATGATGCGTCAGAGTTTACATCATTATTTTATATGCTGAGAAGCTCTCTTGTCCTTTGTGAAGACAAAGGCCTTCACAGAGGTGATCATTTAGACCAGGCATGTCAAACTCAACTTGTACAGTGGGCCACCTCAGCTCTATAAATAATAGTCGAGGGCCGCACTTCAAAATAGAAATATATATTAGATTTTGATACAAGGAAATTTAATTCTATTTATTATTTAGGAATAATTTCAATATAATTACCTAAAGTGGAACACTTATATTTTGCCCACAAATCAAACATGTAATTTTACCTTCTATTTCACAACAGAAATAAGCGATTTCCCATTTTTCTTGAAAAACACGGCGCTCACTTTCAATAGTTCTTGTTTTGCTACTTGAATTTTTGAAAGTGACATTACCCTTTAAAAGTTACTGTACATATACAAGAAAACGCGTAGTTGATAATTTAATGTTTAATTATAACTTTTACACATTCATCACAATGTAACATCAGCTGTGTGAAAATGAACTGAATGACAATGTACAGGAGACTACAGGACTAGTAGGAAGGTGTATCTTGTCTCAATGGTCATAAAAGTGAAAGTTTGCTAGCAGCCCATTAGACAATGGCTGGGGGCTGCAACCTAGTTTTGAAGGCAGAAATCCCTTGCACTTGTCTGTCAGTTGCCACCCCTTCCTTGCATTCTTACTATGCCTCCAAAAGGGATTCTTGGAAATACTTGGGGTGGTGAGGCTGTGCTGATTTTAGTGCACTAACCTTCTGAAATACAATAGTTTGTCCTTCACGAACTTTACAAACCGTTAGTTGGACAAACCCTTCTGCAATTCTCAGAATCACTTTTCCTGGAGCCTGCTAATTTATGTCTGCATAAGACTTCTTGTCTTCTGGTCTGTTGGAAAATTGGCTTTACAAAAAATATTACTAAATTTTAATATTGATTTTAATATCAATTAGCTATAAAAGTTGTGGGGCCGCACTTTGTGGCTATGGGGGCCGCATGTTTGACATGGCTGATTTAGACTGATATCTTCTGGCTTACGACAAAGCTGACCTAGTATGTGGTTACCATTTCAGAGGAAGATGTTGCCTCTATCTTCAGAGTACTGTGTGGGAAGAGAAAGAAATGCCCCAGAAACTAAAAGCAAAAAAATCTACAGGGTTAGTCCACTGCACATCATCACAATCGTACATCCTTCTCCAAGCAGACTGATTTAATCTGTTTACAGTTTATTTAACACTGCTGCCAACAGCAAAGAATTCAGTGTATGGTTATGGGACCTTTGTCCTGGGTTACTACTTTAATGTGGTGAGGTGGTCTGTGTGTACTGATCACTCTGAACTATGCTAGGGGATGTGTAAGCTCCTGGTAGTGTCACCCATGCAAGACAGGCCAAATGGTAAGAGGGTAGCTCCTGGTCCTTCAGGTTGGGGGTTGAACATGAGGCTAATATCCTCACCTCACAAAATAATACAAAGAAACCAACCACCATTGCCAGATGAAAAATTTTTAGAAACAGCTGTTGCATATGTGGAAGTGAAGGTGGGTGCATTGTTATAATTGTGTGATGGTCATGTGCATTCCGTAGTTATAGAGTACAGCAGGAAGGCGTTTTACGTATTTTTTCAAAGCTGTGGACTGGTTCGCAGTGTCTAGCCAGCATAGTGCACAGACTAAACAAATTACTGTGTGGTCTCCCTTCCACATGTGAGTATGGTATGAAGCACAGGCTGGCGATCCAGAATGATTCAAATGTGAAGGTCTGACAGCGAGAGAGTACACATCATAACTTAAGACAGAATAGAGCACAGCGAATGAGCTGGGGCTACCACACCTGTAGAGGGAATACTATAGTGCCTGTATATTTTATCAAGAAGTCATTATTTTCATAATAAAATACTGATCTAGGTAACCTTTCTGTTGTCACCTGTTAATTAACCCCGCCACACATCGAATCCACTAACTGCTCAGCGAACCTGAGTACCCTTGAAATACTAGGATACAACAGAGCTGAGGAAAGGTTATTAGGATGGTAACTTAGAGCCTGCTGCTTGGAATGTGCTAAGTTTATTCTTGTCAACTGAAATTGGAATTATAGAAATGCAACACTGTCATTGCAGTAGTTCACGAAGTTAGATAAAATGGTGAGGTAATAACAGATATAGGGCATTTTACTAGGTTTTATAGCAGAAGTATGGATAAGTATACATCTGAGACAGGATCCATATCAGTAGCTAATCCAAAGGCCGAAACTTGGGTCAGCATACCCAAAAAGTACTTCCACAAGAGTGCATGGCATGTGAAGCTATTCACATATGATGATATAGTGGGGGGATACACAGAAGGTGGAGTGCGAAAAACAGGTGTGGCCAACTTGTACTAAATTAGCATGATTTCATCAATATGGATGGGACAAAAACCCCTAGGTTGTTGCCCTGGATATTTTGTCAGTCCCTTTCCATGTGACCAAAACAGACTGACAGAAGGTGGTCCTGAAATCCAAATCTGAAACACCAGGTACCAAATTGCCCTGGAGAGTGACATCCCTGGCAGCCTAGTATCCAAGATAAAGTATTTTTATATCCTTGTTTAAAGAAGTGAGTTCACAACACTAATATGAGTTGGGTAAAGCCAGGGAACTATAAGCCTTGAACTGCTTCTGCGGGGTAACTGTGACTTTCTTAGGTCACGTGTTACAGGTAGTAATGACATCATCCTCAAGGAAGTTGGCTGAACTACAGCTCTGTCTTTGGTGGGGACGCATCATGGACCAGGGACGCGTTGGGACACAGCTTTGGAACACCTCCTTGTGGTCTCGCTGGGCAATGACAGTCTCGGGGTCTGGATTAGTATGACCTGCCAGGACTGGCGGCTAAATTCCCATAAAGGGCAATGGCATAATGACTCTTGGGTATCACTATGGTCTACCTGGGATGAATTCGGGTGAGCACTCATGTGGAGGTAGCTTCGGCTACTTGAGTTGTCTCCCTAAGAGTACCGATAAGATGCCGCAAGCCTTCAGGCTCAACACTCTAAAATGGTTTGACCAACCCATGTGGAGGGGTGGGAATGGGGGAGCTCATAGGCCACACCCAGGGTCAACTCTCTCATGCACGTTTCCCTGGTCGCAACCTCAAGACTAGCTGGTATCACACTCCCATTGATCATCTGGGATACCCCTCTCCCCCTGAACAGGCACTCTAGGTCCTGGAGGTCTGTGAGGGTCTTATTCATAACAGGACCAAACCACCTAAGCCAAGGTGTGAGGCATCGTGCCGAGGGCTGCGTGGCACTGGGGTGGTAGTTAGCCAGTGTCTTGAACGATTCCCCGGGGCACCAGGCAGCATGCCGTTGTATTTATGCCTTCCACCTGTGTGGGGCGCTGCAAGTGGTGACCTTTTAAATCCCCATGACTCGTAGGACCAAAATGAAAGGAACCAAATCAAAAACCGGTTGTAAGGACCTTCAACTGAAGAGGGATTCCCTTCCAAGTTGATCCCTACGAGAAATGCTTCAGCAGGGGGCTGGAAGCGCTGGTGAACACCTGCAGCAGGAGAAGGACTGGGACACCTAGTCTCTAGAGTAGGTGGACCCCATCTAGCGAAGAAGGCCTTGTCTGGATGCGCTAGACATAAAATTAAAAAAAGGCAAGAGCTGGGGCAAGCAAAGCAGGAACTGGGGGCAGTCAGCAACCTGGAAATACAGGTTCACCCAAGCAGGGAGAAACCCCCACCAGGACCTTTTAAGAGGCCAAGGTTGGAAGGCAGTATCCCAACAGAAATGGCCAGAGCTCCAAAAAGGCTCAGGGACTCTAAGGGACCAGGGACTTACAAGGAGGCTCTGACCAATATAAAAGTAGCTATCTTCAAGGAAACTTATGCTGAGGATAAGGTTAACAAAGATGACCAGAACTCCATTCCGGAAGCACTGGGGGAGGTGTTATGTGGGACTCCAAAGGGAAAACTACCACAACTGAAATCCTACATACTGGAGGGTGCACTTATTTACACATGTGCGGATCAACAGTCTGGTCAATGGCTCATCAAAGGCATTGACAACTACAGGCCGAAATCAGGGGCCAGGCTGAAGGCTAGTGATGCCAGGAACCTGCCCAAGCCCGTTAAAGTGGCTCTCCAGTTTAGGGACAAAGTTGCCCAGAATCAGGAAACGATTATTTTTTTTAAAAAATATATTTCACTCTGGTCTTTAAACTTTACTTTTACTTTATGTGAGTTTATTGGACTTTGGATCCAATTTCTTTCATTTAAAGATAACTGAGATCCATCTTCATTATTTCGCATGGGGTTAGTATCAGCCTCAGCTGGACTCTTTGACGTCCTCTAAAAGTAAATCTATAATTAATTTCGCAGTCTTCAGTTTCTTCTGGGCACTGAGAAGTTGGTTTTCCAACGTAATACATCTTTCACAACATTCAGCTCTTTTTTCATTTATTTCACTAGAATAAAGTATAGACTCGTTGCCTTCCCGCACTCCTACGTCCGCCATGTTGTATGGAGCTTTACCACTAGTTCTCTTATATAATCTGATTCTTAGCCCTGGTGTAACCTGTCCCTGCCTGTCTCCAATTCTGAACAATGTCAGCTTCTCTAAACCTTGCATTTAACTCATCCAAGTGAAATACTGTGCATACTTGTAAGGGGCCTGCAGTCAGCAGCATAGCCCAGCTATAAAAGCATTCTATATCAAATGAGCTACATACCTTTAGTGATTGGGACCATAATAACTGGTGCACAGTTGAGGAGAACTTGAGCAAATATCCTGTGTGGCTTTCCGTGCTAAGAAAATGAGGTGATCCATCCCTTGGCACAGCAGCTTCTCTGCCCAGAACTGTTAACAAAGAGTTAAAGGTCATTCTTAATTCTTAATTTATTTATATTCCATAAGATCTTTACAATGTTGTGAGAACAACCATCGGATATAGGAACAGTCAGATAAAAAATCATTGCTTTACAAACAAGCAGATTGTCAAAATACAAAGTAGAAAATACAAACATAATACATGTAAAACACATTTGTCAATAAAAATAAAATGAAAATAAAAACGTATATTGGTCATAATAAGAACATCACAAGAAACTCCAAAATCATACCTTAATATGAAATCATATGAATTAAGCTAATTTATCAAAATGTAAGAACACACATAAGAAACAAGTCTAAGCTGTATACACACCATATTTGTATAGTTAAAATTTAAAGAACGAAATTTTATAATATACTTACAGATAAACATGAAAATATACATGTCATACCGAAGCGTAGGTACCCTACAGAGGATACTCCAGGTTGCGTATAGGTTCTCGTGATCACAGGACAGGGCGAGCAGGGGAGGACAAAGAAATCAGCAAGGCGGAAATACCCAAACAGAAATAGCCAAATCAATTATTAACAAAGAATAAATATAATATATTAACAAAGAAAGAATACAAACATAATGTAAATACCTGTATCAGAATGATTGCAGAGTTCGCTGTTCTAAGATAG